TTTTTTTTTTTTTTTTTTAAATAAAATAAATAAATAAATAAAATAAAATAAAAGAAAGAAAGTGGAGCAACGGGTGAGGTGCAAAAGGTGATGATAATGTTTTGTGAGTGGAGAATAAAGAAAAGAAAAGAAAGGGGTTGTGTGGTGTGGGTGGTGGAACCAAAGCTGGGCCGAGTAGCAACTTAACAGAAGGAATAATAATACTTATCTAAAAAAAAAGAAAAAAACCTTAATAACTAGGAAATGATCTGATCCACGAGGCCTGTTCCAAAAAGGGTACTTTGCAGCAAGCATGTTCACATGATCCCTCGGGAAGATTGAGAGTCGTCTTATATTATGTGAGCCAGGCACATAAAGAGCCATCTGCAGCTGGCGTGCACTGTATGGCAGATAGAATAAGTGAGCCTTTTCAGGGTCCCTGGTGACGAATTGCTTGTTTTCCTCCATTAACTTCATAAACCATCCTTCAGATGAATAAATTCCTTGGAGATTGGTTTAAATAAAATAAAAAAATAAAAAGAAGAAGAGAGACAGCCGCTGCTGCCCTTATTATTTATTTATTTATTTATCATGGCCTTGAAGAGAGAGAGCTCGAGGATGTTGGAAACACCAATGAGGTTTCAGAGGGTGATGCTTTTAGCATAAGAGCCAGCAACGGACCTCGCGGATGTGGACGGAGAACGCTGAAGAGACGATGCCGAAGAAGATGCCGAAGAAGATGTGCGTGAACAGCAAAGCCGAGGAGGCGAGGGCACGGAAGACAGCCAGCGAAGTCGAACGCAAAGATCGCGATGCTCCGTTGCTGGAGATAAAGAAGACCAGTACTGGCGCGAAGCCGAGGGCTCGAAGTCGCGCGCCGCCAAGAAGCGGGAGGAGGAGAAGGAGAAACGCGCCGAGGCAGCCGCTCGCAAAGCAGAGGCGCGCCGGATCGCCGAACAGGAGGAGAAGGAGCTCGAGAAAGCTAGACGCAAGCCCAATAAGAAAGCGAACAGAGTGTTGATTCCAGTGCCTAAAGTCACCGAGTCGGAGCTCCAGCGGCAGAGGGAGGCGGAGCAGGCGCAGATTTTGAAGATAGCGGAGGTCCTAAGGTGGGTGATGAATATGACAGCGATAGTGAAGGTATGTGTAGAGGTCCGGCGGGCGGCCAAGGCGAGGCTGCCGCCCCCCCGTGAAGCAAAATGAGTGGTTG